TTTTTTGTCTTAAATTCTCCACGATTGTATGAGATCTCATAAGCGTCAAGAAAGACTTTGAGGTAATTGGGAGAGCAAGGTGCATGCTTTGTTGCCACTTCCGGAACGCAGATTCTCTTGTCCTTGTTGATCGCCACTCGCTTTGTGAGTTCAGAGCTTCAACGCCAAAGTCTGACAGCGTGGGTGTCCTTCCAAAAGCTTGCTTATTTGCTCTTGGGAACGCGAAGCAGATGATAATTTTTTGATCTGCGCATTCATGCTGAACAGCTTGAGCAATGCAGACGGGGCTATTAACTCCGGCAGACCTACAGCTCAATCTATTATTCTTGTTGCCAAGCAAAATGTGAGTTTCTCCTAAAACGAGTTAACCCTTGCTATGCTTACAATTTCGAGTTTCTGCCAAAATCCACATTGCAGGCGGAAAGAAATGATGCTTGAGGCAGCCAAAGGCCTGCGGACGCAAGCAATTGTTAGCGTAGGTTGCAGTTAGGGCGAAAATTGCCTATTCACACGAGTCGCGACTCCATTTTCCCTGTTTCCCCAACCACAATAAGGCGCTGGACCATCACTATCGACATTTTACCAATCTGCTGATTCCTCTCAAAGTGTGAACTCTGTTTTTATAGGTTTGAAGGCATTTTAACACAAAACGCCAATTGGGGAAGTTAGCGCTTGCGCAACGATTTAGATGGATTATATAGGCTAGTTTCTGCATGACTGTCTGAAATCCCGAGATAGCATATGATTTTAACTGCTCCCTATCCAGACTCCTCTCCAGCTGATGACTCAGGCTTGGACTGGGAGGAGTGGTACCGCTATCCATTGCACCGCTCAGGTTCAGCGACTTCCACAAGGAGGTACTGGCCACCTCTTCATCCCATATATACATCTTCTTATGAGCCTTACGTTGCTGAAGTGTGCGGACTGCAGCATTTTCCCGCTTCAACGATTTCAACCCCATATATATTCACACAAAACGGCTTACTTCCGTTACTAACCGGGAGTATAAGCCGCGCTCATGTCTAATTACGATTACGCTTTTGCAAACTGGAGAAGAATGCAATTCTCAAGGAGGCGACAGTAACTCCCATTTTTGCCATCTTCACGAAAATTTGGATCCGTTCAGTACTTGTAGAAGTGGTTTCAGCTCCGATGCGCCTTCGCCGCGAATCACCGACCAGTCTGGCCTAATGCCACCAGCTCCACCTGATCCCCACATCAAATACTTGTGGAATGAAAGTGTGGACGTGAGCGAGATGGGTGGAATAGAACAGAACGAAGTGCTGCAACTGCGCATGATGCTCGGCATCGAGGTTCGTCTACCAAAATGCTGCTGTGACAACATAATCTGAAAGCTTCCAATCCAGCGAATTTCCACGGAGACGCTGTCTCGTTACAATGTCAGGGCACATATGGATGGTTACGACCAGCCCGCTATTCTCTACCCCAGGTATTCTCCAGTAACTCGTCCTCCTCCCTTCCCTAACCAGCATCGCTTCAGATATCGTGGTCTAGCTTCGCGAATTCGTATCCCTGCCGGCCTGAAGGTTATACGCAAAGTCGGTGAACGCTTGGAAAAGGAGAACTATCCCATCATGGATGATCCTGTGTGAGTAGTGTTTTCCTAGCACTTATACCATTTATTGTATTCTGGGGTTGAGTATATGATGCATAGCTTGCAACGTTTTTTGTACAAGATGTTCTCAATTTTCTGCTTTTCATCGATCATTGCTAGACAAGGTGGTACAACAACATCCATAATTCTAACGCCTCAATTCAGGTAAAAGCGAATCCGGAAATGACGCGAACGCGCGCGACCGAACGCTGCGTTCAATGCTGCGAAGTTATCGGTTTTCCGATAGTTGTGCGAACTACTTAGGAGACAGGCGAAATTTGAAATATAACAGAACCAACAAAAAGTGCCTTGCAGATGTTTCATGAATTTTTGGTAACCACATCAAGAATGTCTCTATTGTATTGCCGGTTCCTGTTAT